GGTCAGCCCGCGATACTTGGCAGACGTCGCAGTTGTCAGTGGGCTTACGATTTGCGCTTGGTCCACAGCAGTCATATCAAAGAGAAGATGACACGGACAAATGTAAATCGTTCGCCCCATTGGCACATGATTGTACTTTAATGTCACCTCGAGACCTCAGTGGGGTGTGCAGCGCGCGAAGTGGGCGGGGTGTCCTACTTTCGACGGACGCGCGCAACGGACGTTCACCGGAAATCCAGCAAGCCGTACCTGTTCTTCCATTAAGTTCTTTCCCATGCCAAAATCCCTGAGAATGTGAAGCGATGCTCGACGTTGTTCTCTCCAGTTCTCGCCCTAGTAACGCAAAATAAGGCCGAGTATTTACTTATCCATACGATAATTCATTTCATGAGAAGGATATTTCGAGAGGAATGTACATGTAGGATATGTACTATGAACTGTACTCTAAACTATGATGAGTATGTACCTGTGAGAAAATTACTCCACCATTTTCTACATTCTGGAATATGGTGTCAGGAAAAAGACCCGAACGTCCAATGAAATCATCACCTGAAAGTATGACCCTTTTCGAGCAGGCAGCAATGACGGAAGGCAAATCTTCGTCTGAAGCCTTTTCCTTTAGAGAAGATTTTTTTGGTTTAGTTGGAACATAGGCATTTCTGGGGCTGTATGTCCAGAACCAAAGCAATTGTATCACTCCGAGCCTAAGGAATAAACACCCAATACGGAACTGAATAATCCTTATTCTGACTTAATTGCTGTATCCTAAGGAGTTTCTAGGTCAAGTAAACAGGTATTCCCAACGGCATCATTTTTTTGGATGATCCCTTCAATAGATTTGTTGAGTGTCTAGAGCGAATTGGATGCCTAGTAGAGTTCAGTCTTAAACTCGGGACCTCAGCGGTCTTTCAATCTTCGAGAAAGACAAGAACTTGCAAGCATTGGATCGCTGTAAATGAAATCATGTATCTCCTGTACTTGAAGAATCTGTTAAGTCCCAGAAATATTGATATCAATTTATAAAATTTCTTCAAATTGCCTTTCAACAATTAATTCAGACAGATGCAATTATGCGGATGGCATATAAGTTAAAGGCACAGTTCACGATAATTTTGGGGTATCCGGTTTTTGACGAAAAATGTTAGATACGGCCTACATTAGTACAATTGAAAAGGAGAAAACGCGAAAAACGGTGAATAAAAAGAAATAGAAAGCCTCAAAAAAGAAGAGAAAGGGGGGG